TGAATTCGGAGTCCTGCCGGAGTTCCGAGGGAGCGCTATACTCGGAAGTAACAACTTCTCAATAGCTACTATGCCGTTCAGCTTGCAATCGAGTGAGTAGATCCCGTGAAACCTCAACTCAAGCCAAGGCCGCCGATCAATCCTTCCAAGAGATGCTTTCCCAAAAAAGAAATCCCTTAATTCAACGTCAAGCTTGGTCTTTAACCATCCCAAATGGAACTCTGTTCTGTCCACCCAAAAGATTAAGATTAAAAACGCATCAAGATTGGCATGATAGAAGAAGGATGATCCATGGAAGAAAAGGACAAAAGAAATTACATAAGTGGAAGGGGAAAAGCCGGATAGGATGATCCTTTATCAATACACCTGCGTGATGCAGGCAAATGAAATTGTGTGCTACTGATAGCTACCCAAGAGCTCATCTTTAAAGCTGAAAGTCGAGTAAATCATTACCCAAGAAGGAAGAACTCACAGATGAAAAGATGGCGCCAGTGCATGAGCAAGGCCAGAGAACAGCCCAGATCGGCGACACTATTGTAGGGTCTCAGAACGCCCGTTGTCATAGTAATGAGAAGTGCCAAGAAAGGTGGATCTTCGCTATAAGCAGAGAGGAGGAAATAAGGTAGGCAAAAGTAATTCACAAAAGGTTCAAAAAGTTAAAAATTCAACCCTTCTAGTGCGAACAAAGCTTAATATTCATTCTGCGTTAAAATGCACCTTGGTGGGAATTAAAAACAAGAACATGTTTCAAAACAATGCACCCGAGTGACTACGGAAGGACCAGATTTGAGTCACAAGAAATTCACACGTTTTAGCTGAATTCTATCGCATTTTAGTTTAAATTAACTTGAAAGTCAGACCAATACTTACTAGAATCGAAACAGTAGACCACAACATATTGAGAATATGATGAGTTGCATAGTCCAAACGAAGAAGACATTGAAATGTGGAAACATTTCTACATACATATACCAGAAGAGTCCCAAATTCGGGGTAGTGTTTCGGGCGTAAATACTGATAAGAAATAAGACGTTATAATTTATACGGAGGGAGGAATCATGAACGGAGACAAAACTAACTTTGAGAGGTAGCAGTGTCTCAAAAAACTCCAGCTCTTTTCATAATAGTAGGTGGCGAAGAGAAGACTGCCGAGTGTAAAAACAAAGGCAAAGAGTGAGGAGCACACGCAAGATTTACGCTGAAGAGTAATAAACAAAGTATAAATGCATTTGGAGACTAGAAACCCACATCTCGACATCGAGCTAGCACAGCAAGCATAAGGAAGATGGGATATATGTTTATGTAAGACCCAACTCCACAAAGGATGCTAGCAACCAAAGTTCGACCTAAAGTAAGAACCGACATTCAAATTACAGGAAACATACCTTTAATCAATGCAACGAAGATGAGAACAGTAAAAATTACAGGGATAATGCCGATCGAACGATTGCCAAAGGCAAAAATAGAGAAGGGATTGAAAGCAAACCTAGAAGCGAGAAATCCTTATTCTTCACAGGAGGCTAAACTTTCAAAACTTACACAAAAATGGACAACGGAATGCGCATATCATCTTTCAGGGAATCAAATGAAAGAAAAGCTAGGAATCCAATAAATTCAAGAGTCTAAATTGGTCTGTGAAGAAAGAGAAGTACGGGAAGAATTATTCCGTCATAGTGCACGAAGTCAAAAAGCTTCCACAAAGCTAAATATAGTGGAGGCTGGGGAATGTGTGAGGAAAACAACGCTTACCTGTGTGATTGCGGGAGAGCCGTTTATAACACTCGGATTGTGGAATATTGTAACTTCTTCTTTTACTAGATGGGATATAAGAACCAAGAAGATATTACATCGTAACCAGTCCTCATTCGCGGCATGTCCAATACTTTGAAGAACTGGCGAGGGTGCAAGATTCAGGCAAAGGAAGCGAAGAAGTATACCGACCGCAAGGCACCCGATAAAGTACCTGAACATCGCTTGCACGAGCCTTACTTTACCTATCTGCTCTCACAATTAGAAAATTAAAACAAATTTTTAAGAAATTGAAATTTGATGTTTAATGCCTTTAAGTCAGACGGTAAAGTTCCTATTTTTTGATGAGTCATTGA